ATAAAGCCTCAAAGAATAGTTCTTGAATATAGGAGAATATGGTGCTTGAATTACCATGTAAGAAAACAACTGCCTTGTACAAAAATATAGCCATCCTCTTTATAGTGGAGGATCCTACTTTAGATATAATTAAAAATACATAGTGGAGACTCCATGATAAAAGCTTTTTCGTTATTCCCGCCGAGATTCTCTCCCTTAGTGTGTTTGCAACGGCTCTTGTCTGTGGGCTCGAGCTCGGTCGGCCTCGGTGCCAGTCGATAGTGCTTCTAGAGCTCGATACGGACTCGAGATCAGGTGATGATTCGGACTCAGGCCCCGGTTGGCCCCTGCCCTTTAAGATCAAAATCATCTCATCATAGTTCGATTCGAACCCGAGCTCGATGATGACTTTGAACTCGGTGTTTGACCTATACCTAGAATCTGAAGCTTGTTTGTATCATCTTCGGGACCCATCTCGATATTACGAAGTCTTTCTTCGATCCATTATATTTCGACCATGATCAATCGTACGAAAGCCGAAATCTATTTCGACCATATACTGATGCATAAAACTAATTCTAATAAACAATACAGTTAGAGGTTATTTGATTCGAAATTTGCGGACTAATTATATGGAGATTATAATTCAAGAATTGTTATAAGAAGATCAATACTACCAGTTTAGCTAATATTAATATTCATGTACGTCATTACATATTGTATAAATAATACCTATTTTAAATTATATGTTATACAAATATTACTTATGCCAAAAAAAATACTTAGTACCTGTTTGGATTCATGCAGGGGCGATCGACTACCGAAACTATTCATCTTGTCAGGAGATTGGTAGATCAGTATAGGGAGAGGAAGAGGGACTTACATATGGTGTTCATCGACATAGAAAAAGCATACAACAAAATTTCAATGGAGATTTTGAGGAGATGTTTGGAGGCTAGAGGTGTACCTGTGGTGATTAAGGACATGAATGACGGAGCCAATGACGAGAGTGGGAGGTGACTCCGGGCACTTCACAGTCATGATGTGGCTGCATCATGGATCAGCTCTCAGCCCGTTCTTATTTGCCTTGGTGATGGATAAGTTGACGGGACATATTCAATGCGAGGTACCTTGGTGCATGTTATTTGTAGATGACATAGTCCTCACTGACGAGACGCGAGGCGGTGTTAACACTAGGCTGGAGGTTTGGAGGCAAACCTGGAGTCTAAAGGTTTCAGGTTGAGCTGGACTAAGACAAAATACTTGGAGTGCAAGTTTACTGATATGCCACATGATGCTGATGTCGAAGTGAGGCTGGATACATAAGTCATACCTAAGAGAGGGAGTTTAAAGTATCTTGGATCTATAATCCAAGGTAACGTGGAGATTGACTAGGATGTCACCCATCGTATTGGAGCAAGATGGATGAAATAGAGGCTCGCATCCAGCATCTTATGTGATAAGAAAGTATCATTGAGGCTTAAAGGTAAGTTCTATATAGTGATTATTAGACTGACTATGGCCGGTTAAGACTGCATATGTCCAAAATATGAAAGTAGCGAAAATGGGGATGTTGAAATAGATGTGTGGGTATACTAGGAGAGATATGATTAGGAATAAGGATATTCGGGATAAGGTAAGAGTGGGCCTGTGATGGAAAAGATGCGAGAACTGCGGTTGAGGTGGTTCGAGCATGTGAAGAGGAGAGATAGAGGTAGGCCGAAAAAAGTATTGCGCAGAGGTGATTAGGCAAGACATGGCACATCTCCAACTTATCGAGGACATGACCTTTGATGGGAGGGTGTGAAGATCGAGGATTAGGGCAGTAGGTTAGAAAGTCATCAAGCGTAATTCTTTTCATACTTGTATTGCTTTACTAATGTATTTTCGTATTCCCTACTCTTAGATATCTAATACTTCGGAATATTCCTTTTGCTTTGATTATCGTTTTTTAGTGTTTACTACTTATCTTTACATGGGTTCTCCTTAGTTGTATTTCCTTATCCTAGCTGCTTTGATTATGCATTTCTTGAGCCGATGGTCTATCAAAAATAGTCTCTCTACCTTCACAAGGAAGGGGTAAGATCTACATACGTACCAATGTTGTTGTTGTTGTTTGTATTTATATAGTACCAAATTTTGTCAAGAATTTTTTTTCCTAATGCCTCCAGCCAACCAAACTACTTAACTGTCAAAGTACTTACAAATTTATTAAGACACTTAAAAATTACCTCCCAAAACAAATATAAAAAAATTATGAAGAAAAAAGATTATTCCACATGAAAAATGCATGGATTCTTGATAAGAAAGTAGCAATAGAACTTAAATGATCAAAATCCACCAAAAACAGATTTTAGAATCTTGGGAAACAAAGTAGGTAGTTCATGCTGATAAGATTGAAAGTAAGAATTCTATGAGTAAAAATCAAACGACTAAGAAACGCTATTTCTATGACAGCTCGAACTTCTTTCGTTGTGGTTACATGACATTACATGTAGATTTTACACATATTTAAACTTCGAAATGAACAGAGATTACATGTAAATTAATTATTAACCTAAGTGATTGAAATTAAGTCTGACAAAGTCCTCTCTATTTAAATTCTGATTTGAAGAGTGAAGACTTTTAGTAAAAAGTTTCTTTTCATTTCGATTTATAAATAAATATATGTTGAACCTTGAATCTTCAAAGTAAAAGGTAAATATTGAAGAAGAAAAAAACCGTGAGTTTTATTTTTTTTTATTTTGTGGTAAGCTTTGAGGAAAGATATGGGATCAAGTGCCACGTCGATCAAATGAAAAAATATCATTCTTGGAGGGCTCTGTCTCGTCTTAAATCATTGACGACTTTCTACTTCAAAATCTTCTTTTCAAAAATGATGTGCTGGGAATATTAATCTCTTTTAATGGTTACGATAGTCATGATCAGCTATTTGCCATGTGATTCGGGGTAGTAATAAGTAAGAATTTGTCAAGCAATAAACAGCGCACCCTTTAACTAATGTCTGAATTATATATGTGAGAGTTTTAATAAGTAAAATTTAGAGCGCAGAGGGACGATTACATAATCAAGCATACCATAAAAGCGAGATAAATTAATGGCATATCAGTAGAGCATATGACAGTTTCAGTGAGTGATTATCTGTTACTGGTGTCGTATGGAGAATAGATTTAAAATTATATATGTAGTTTCAAACTAAGCAACGAGATTAAAATTTTCAAGAAAGAAATCTGCCTTTATCAATTGGTGTTGAGATCACTTGATGTCTAATAACTAAGTTGTGCACTCAAAAGTGTTCCAACCCAGTTAATCCTAATTAAATAAATAAATCAAAGCAAAAGAAAATGTTGATTATGGGATACTCCAAGTTAGGTCAAGTCTCAAATCAACCCATCTATGAGTTCACCCGGTCAAACTTCAACTCGGATCCCTATGTCAACTGGGCACTTGGCAACCCTAAATCAATAACCATCTTATATAATAATATCCTATATACTCCTAAAGGATATGAACTCTCATAATACATACGATTCTCAATGCGTGTATTCTAGCTCTCTATACATACATGCCTTTGAACTTAAAATAATGATGAAAGATATAAGTTAAGTGTTTACGACTCTCTAAAAAGTTTAATGATCATAAATTATATCCTAAAAGGGAATGATTTTCATACTAATTGTTCCTTCTTTTAAAAATTTGTTCAAAAGATAAAGTACAGCATGAGATAACTTTTACTATATATATTAGTTAGAAAAATATCTCAACAAAGAAGTAGAAATGACGTAAATAAGAATAAAACTTTCCTATTATGGAAAGAAATGTATAATAAACAAAGACAAAACAAAAACAAAGAAGATTGGTTCATTTTATAACTCATTCATCAAAAATGAAAGAACCTGTAAAGGATCGATGCATTTAAATGTTATTTTCAAAAGTCTAGATTCCCGACTTCATAAATCTTCAAAAATGAGAATAGATGTACAATTGAAGTACGGATAACCATGTTGTTCTCCTTTTATTTTTATTATTTTTGTTTCCCCCCACTTTGCCCTTTTCTCTCACACCAATCAACATAACCAAAAAGCTGCCTGCAAGTGCAAGTCGTAGTCAACCAACTTATTACTCCGTTTTAATTTTAAAATGATAGCATATTTTTTATTAGTATGTTCCAATGACATATTTTTATATTTAAAAATAATTTAATTTTAAATTTTTATTTTTTAATTATTTTATCCTTAATGATAAGTTTTTATATCCATACAAATATCATGATTCCATAAAACTTTTATCCCTTAAGCTTTTAGGACCACATATTTCAAAAAATTTCTTTTTTTTTCTTAAATTTTATGTCAAGTTAAACTATATCATCTAAATTAAAGGAATACTTCCGTCAAACCTCTCTCCCGACCTTCAACCTTACACATATCACTTAAAAGATAATCATAAATAATAACACAATCAGTATGTCCAAAATAAATTCTAAATGTTTTATTGATGGTATTACATGATATTTTTATTTAGTAACACGGGAAATTATGTATTATTTTATGTAAAAAAGAATGAGAAATAAGATTACATGTATGATGCATTAATTGACAAAATAATTAACAATCCTTTTAAAACAAATAATTTATGTATAACAATCCTTTCATTGTTATCAACTTTATCAATATTCTCCACATATATAATTTTTGCAATATAATTTCTGCGTAACTAGTAAGTAAACCAAACCAGCCCTAACTGTTGTCACATGTTCTCTCAAGTCTTTAACACATATTGACTGACACGTGCCTTACCCCCTCTAGGTTTTAGATCTTTTCCTTTCCTTTTTCTCTTTCTCTTCTATTTAGTTTAGAGAAAACATGAGCTGGAGGGAGATTCCGTGTGTGGGATTCGAGCTGTAATTGGAAATAGGCCCCTATTCCCACCTCCTCTCCCCTTCACACACCCCCTCCCCGCACGTCTTCTTTTTCTCCTTTTACCTATATATATACCTTTCATTTGGTTTTGTATTCATTCATTAAACCATCAAAGGTTTCTTCTCATCTTCACTCTATTTGTGTCACCACGAGCTTTAGAAGTACTATCATTTTTGGTACTTTTTGTCTGTTAAACACAGAGAAAAAGTCATGGAGTTTGTTTCCATGTTTTGCTTATTTGCTTTCATTTCTTGCTCCCTTCTTCTTCTCCATTCTATCTTCAACTTCTTTGCTTTTGGTATCAAGTTGCCTCTTCCTCCTGGCACTTTGGGTTGGCCTTATATTGGAGAAACTTTCCAACTTTACTCTCAAAACCCAAGTGTTTTCTTTGCCTCCAAAGTCAAGAAGTTAGTAGTAAACTCTAAAAACCCTTTCATTTGCTTGATTTCCTGATCTTGAGTTGCTAATGAGCGATGGGTGTGTGTGTGTGTGTTTTTGAAACAGGTATGGTTCAATATTCAAGACTCACATATTGGGATGCCCATGTGTGATGATATCAAGCCCAGAGGCAGCAAAGCTAGTTTTGGTCACAAAAGCTCATCTCTTTAAGCCTACATTTCCAGCTAGCAAAGAGAGGATGTTGGGAAAACAAGCCATTTTCTTCCATCAAGGAGATTATCATGCCAAGCTGAGGAAGCTAGTTCTTCGTGCTTTCATGCCCGAATCCATCAAAAACATCGTCTCAGACATTGAATCCATCGCAAAAAGCTCACTTGAATCCTTGGAAGGAAGATTGATCAACACTTACCAAGAAATGAAGACAGTATGTTCTCAAAATTTCCATCCATAAAAAAACAGAGTCCCCTGTTTGTTTTTCCCAAAATGGATACTTATACTATGAACATGTTTTCTCAATTTGGTAATTTTTGTTTTTGCAGTACACATTCAACGTTGCATTGCTTTCCATATTTGGAAAGGATGAAATGCTCTATAGAGAGGATCTCAAGAGGTGTTATTACATTCTTGAAACGGGATACAATTCGATGCCAATCAATCTCCCAGGAACACTATTCCATAAATCAATGAAAGCAAGAAAGGAGCTAGCAAAGATCTTGGCCAAAATCATCTCAGTTAGGAGGGAAACAAAGCAGAATCATACTGATTTGCTGGGATCTTTCATGGGAGATCAAGAAGATCTTACTGATGAACAAATTGCAGATAATATCATTGGAGTCATATTTGCTGCTAGAGACACTACTGCTAGTGTTCTTACATGGATCCTTAAATACCTTGGAGAAAATCCAACTGTCCTACAAGTTGTCACTGTAAGATTCTATGCACTAGTAGTACGGTCGGATTCGGAATTTAAATTTAATGGACTCTGAAATTTTGAAACTATAAGTTCAAAACTTAATATTTGTAGCATGTCTTTAAGGATATTTCCCACTCTAAAATAAAACCAAGAAAAAGAAGAGGAAAATATCTTATAAGGGTGGTTTCATTATAGGAGGCGAAAAATAATAATGTTGTCATTGCAGGAAGAGCAAGAGGGAATAATGAGGGAAAAAGAGGAGAATGGTAAAGGACAAGTGTTAACATGGGCAGACACCAAGAAAATGCCTATGACTACAAGGGTGATCCAAGAGACACTTAGAGCTGCTTCTATCTTATCTTTTACTTTCAGAGAAGCTGTTGAAGATGTTGAGTTTGAAGGTCAGCTTTGACCCCTCAGTTTTAATGAAGTCAAATATTTTACACTATAGTTTGAAAGAAAAAACACCCTTTTCTTGCTATTTTTATTAACTATATAATATACTTAGATTTTTTCTTGATATTTTCAGGATATCTAATACCAAAAGGATGGAAAGTATTACCACTGTTTAGAAACATTCACCATAGCCCAGACAATTTTCCAGAACCAGAGAAGTTTGATCCATCAAGATTTGAGGTAAATATCAGAGGGGAAATATTAGTAAATTTAAATTAATTAACTGTACATTCTTTCCTAATTTTCCCCTCATAATTCCACTATGATCCGAGACAAATCTTTTTCTGTTGATGTGCCAGGTTTCTCCAAAACCCAATACTTTCATGCCATTTGGCAATGGGGTCCACTCATGTCCAGGCAATGAATTAGCCAAGCTGGAGATTTTGATACTTGTACATCATCTGACCACAAAGTACAGGTTGGTAAAATTTAAACCTTGAAAATAAAAAGCATTTTCATCTAGCTCTAACTGAATTCTTATCATTTCCATTTTTTTCTAAAAATAGACTTCCTAAAAATAGTATGGTCAAGTGTTACTCATCTCCTAATATTTGCTATGTTTGGCAGGTGGTCTATGATGGGCCCACAGAATGGAATACAGTATGGACCTTTTGCTCTTCCCCAGAATGGCCTGCCCATTATGCTCTCGCACAAGACATCATCATAATAAGGCCCAAAAATAAAAAAAACATTGAATTGAGAGCTTCCCAACAAGAAGATATTTTCATTTCCAAAACAAAAGATTTTCCCTCAAACTAAAGAAAGAAGAGAAGCTAAAAATGACAGGAATTCAAACACAGGGGAAGCAAATTGTATATATATTGAGAAAGAGAGTTTCTTTTCCTAATTCAAGAAAAAAATCATATATATTCATTAACCTAACACACAAAGAGAAACTCAGGAGTTAATATGTGATGTAACATAGGGTAATTCCTTTTTGTATTTTTTTACTTCTTTCTTACTACTTTGTAATTTTTCCTTTTAATTCTTTTTTAAATTTATTTATGGCATGTAAAAAGTCCGTAAGGCAAGTAATGAAAGTCTGATCTCGGCAGCACATAGTTGTCAATATCATTTATAAATATTTGTTGTTTTATTATTTTGCTCTGAGATTCATTCAGTTATTAGATATACATCCATTCTTATCCTCCCCTCCCTCTGCAAATTGCCTCCCCTTCTTCCCCTTTTAAAACAAATACTACAATAATAAACTAAAATTTCAACCCAAAAAGATAACACCATTACTTAAGTCATATTGGTTCTTGGGTCCTTCTTCAGAATAGTTACTATTTTATCATTTTAATCTAACGTTCATGTGTGACCGGCCAGACACTTACGGAATTTACTTTACATATATGTATTTTGGAATATGTATACTTATAATCCAAAATCAATTAAAAAAGAGGGTGTATATATTTCTGCTTATGACGGGAGATTCATGAATAAAGGAACAATCTCTCTCAAATATGTTTCATGAAACTTATATTTACGAAGACAAGTTCAGTAGTGTGGGATGACTAACTGCAAATCCTTCTCATGCTTCCACATGTCAGCTGCAGCATCTCTTTGTCATTCACGAAAATGATATTTTTAATTTGGAGATCGACGGTTTAAGAAACTCAGCTAGCATGATTTATGACAAGAAAAAGATATAACCACTACATCACTTCAGCTTTCAACTATATCTTGTTAAATCATGAATCTTTTTCGTCACATTTCGTATATATAACGGGAATCAAACCCTTTTTCTGCTGACGGACAAATATACACTAATATTCTACTTCATTCCAACAATTTGTTAGATACTGACAACTCTAACTATTAGGAGTAGAATATCTCTACAAAAGAATATCTCGCATAAAATAGAATATCTCTACAAAAGTCATAGGAGTAGTAATAAACAAGGATAATTGGTTCCTAACTAGATAAGACGGATCAATATTTTCAAAAACGTAATCACATAATGTATTTTTGCCTTCTATATGTTGTACTTAGCATATGAAAAGATATTCATTAGCTTAATATATTCATTAAGTATATACGAATATATCTAAATGATTACCATATTGAGCAACGTAACTTAATTAATCCATCTACATTTGAAAATGATTATTTATTATTTCTGAATGAATCTATTTTGTATGTAAATGATTCATTCTTTTAACTTTTATATGGATTCATAACTTTGATCAAATATTCTTGAATGGTCTTGATAAGTTACAAGACTTTGATCTCTAAATTGTACCATAGATTAATTTATAAAAGTCTTAGGCACATTAATCTATTATATAACTAATTTATACACGTCTTAGGTGCATTAATCAATTATAAAGTAAAATATTAAGGAAGAACATGCTAATACATACATATGGTAAAGAAAGTTATATTTTACTAACATTTTGACAATGGGATCGTCCTTTGGACGGAAAAAAAAAAAAGCATTTTTAACAATACTTTTTCTGTGATACAGATGCAATTAATTTGCTGAAACGCAATAAACTACAAATAAAAATATTGTAAGAGTAGTGTTTACCCTTAAAATTAAATAACAATTAAACTTATAATGTGGCTCTAAGGATATGTGATTTCACTTAATACCAATTGATAAATATGAGAATTAATAATAGAAATGAACTATAAAATAAAGCAAACCGGTGTTAGAAATGAACTCAGCCCTCGAATTTTGATACCCTCGAACTGGTTGATGCAAGAGCAATTAAAATATAACAAGCTGATAAACAATAGTATAAACGAGAAAGAGAATTATATTACTTTGATCTCTATGAAATCCCACTTATGGTATGATTCTAATTACAGAAGGAAATCACATGATTAGCTAATTAACCATTTCTGATTTGATCCATTTGCGAGATTTACGCCATGATCCTCGACCAGTCACCGAGATTTACGCTGTGATCCTCGACCAGTCACGGATATCTCGCATTTCTGTTATTATGCTATCTTCGATCTTGCTCGATGTCTGTCTCATTTGGTTTCGATCGCTACTAGCCTCGATCTCGATAGGTACCTCGGTTCTGAACTCGGTACCTTGTCCTCGCGACTTAGTCTGTTCTGTTACGAGGCCATCCTTTGATGCAGTCTCCCGGTCTCGGTCAAATAGTAAAATCGGAAGGGGTTGATTTTATCCGTATACAAATAGTCCCCTCATTTTTTTGGAGTGTAATGACAAGAAACGAATTGAGCCTTCGATTTTTCTACCTCGACCAGTCATGACGTCATCCTCGTGACGGAAGTGACTGAAACATCCCGTCTGTATAGTTACCAAGGCATTAAATACGCGTCAATCGATGGTCAGCCACCGCCAATTTTGAACCGTCGTTGTGAAATCTATAAATAGCTCATCTTTTCACCATTTCGAACTTTTACTTTCAAATTTTCAATATCCAAAGCTTTTTACATCTTCTAAGTTCTTCATCTGCAAATCTACGATTTTCACTGCTAACCTCTTCTTAGAAAACCAAATCTTATCATCTCCATCTATTTTTAACTTCAAATCCAAATGGCGAAAACGTCAAAAACTATTCCTTAAAAGGAAAGTGCTTCTTCATCGCGGCCGGCCGGCGATAAAACACCGGTGGAGCCGCGCCCATGAGGAGTGTGTTCCCGGGGGGTGCGTCCTCACCTCCGACTTTAAGACCGATAAAGCCTCGTCGATTCCCGGTCGATTGATAACATCCAAATCCACTACTAAAAAGCAAATGGACACGGTCGCATGCAATATAATTTACCCAACCATGAGTCAGGGTCGAATCCCACAGAGAACAATATGTAGGCGATTAGGAATGTAAGAGAATTATCACTTATTATGCAATGCCAAACACTTAGAATAGTTGTTGAGAAAATTTTATTGCTAAATACGAAAAATGTAAACTAACCTAGAAAGCAAGTAAAATGATCAATGGCTACAAGCATGGGTGCATCGGAATTTACACTCAAGTAACGATCCAATATATTTTACAATTTTATAAATATGAATGAGTTTATTATTTATTAGCCTCGGATAATAATTCTATATTAGTTTCTCTCAAAGACTAACAAGACTTCTTAATTGAATTATCTCTAAAACAATTAAGAGATTAAGCACACCCGAATATGGCTACAAGTAGTTCATTCTTATCCCTAGGTAGAATCTATAAAGTGAGGGTTAACGCCTCAAGTTCTTGTTAATTAATCTTTCTCAACCCCGAATTATTTTTTTCAAAATTAATCCGAAGTTAATGGGTGAGTCATAGGGTTAGCTAATCCCTTTGGAAATATTTAAGAACAAGAATAATTAAAGAAATAATAACTTACTTCATAACAAATAAAAACCGTTCAATACATAAGCACAACAAGGTATTTAATCCACACTTTAAGTATGAATATTTCCATAAATAAGATTCAAGTGTTGGAAATAAATACTACAAATTATATATACAATACAAAGCAAGGAAATGAAGAAATGAGCATAAAGGAGTAAGAAATTCTCAACCAAAAGCTTCAAATCTTCAAGACCCAAATGTGTGTGTAAGAACCCTAACTTCCAAAACTTGTCTTCTCTAGTCTAAGAACTGAAAATAAGCCAAAGATCTTCAAGATGTTCGAAGTTATCCCCAAAAAATGAGCTATGTCGTCTATTTGTGGTTTGGGGTCAAAAATCGTGAAATTCCATAACTGCCGAGAGTTCTGCCAAGATTTGTGAATCGCGATCGTGAAAAGGGGGTTACGATCGCGAAGAGTAATTTTGTAAAGTATTGCAATCGCAGACTACATCACGCGTTCGCGTAGAGCATTTCAGAACAGTTGACCAGCTTCTTCATCGCATTCGCAGAACTTGCCTTGCGTTCGCGATGTATTGTTTCCTCCAGCATCGCGTTCGCGATTATACCTTCGCGTTCACGAAGGTTTCCTTCCTCCTTCTTTGCGTTCGTGTAAGGAACTTCGCGTTTGCGAAGGTTTGTTGTCCTGATGCTCCCTGTTCGCGTCTAACCCTTCGCGTTCGCGAAGGGTAATTCACTAGGCAGTATTTTGTTTGCATTTTAGCTTCTTTTTTGACTTGTTTTCACATGGTTTCTTCACCACCACTCCTAAATCACTTGATACTTGAAATATGCCAATAAGCCTCAATAAATGCCTTAATTTCTCAACAAAATTATACAAAAACCTAAGTATCAAAAGGAGATAAGTGGGTAAAATACTAACTTATCATCGATGCGAGCCAATGTCGAGGTATATATGCTCGATAACTGAGGGATACCTTAAGCATGTAAAGAAAGACTGCAACTGGGAGGGCAAAGAGGTGGTGATCCCGACCCCCGAAGAGGACATCACCACCCATGTGGAAGGGTTTCTAAATGTTTACACTTACCCTTTCATGCTAGGCCCCCTCGACCCCGTCGTCGTTGATTTTTGCCGTCAATACCAAATAACCCTAGGCCAAGTCCATCCTTCCTTTTGGTGAATTGTTACTCTGCTCCGATTCTTCGTAAGAAAAGTCGAGGGGATGCCTTTCACCCTCGACCACCTCATCAGGTTGTATAGCCCCCGCCTCTATCGAGGCGGGTTAATAAAAATCCAACGTCGGGCTACCAAAGTGTTGTTTTCGAGTATAGACGAGGACAGGGACCGAGGCTGGATGGGCCGGTTTGTTCGAGTGAGGACTTCCGACCTAATCCCAACCGAGAAGATGCCATTTACCGAGAAATGAAATATAAAGCGTAAGTACAATCCCACTGTTAGCTCTTATTTATTGCTTTGCTCCTTTGCTTCTTCTCATCAATATCCTTTTCCGTGATGTAGCGGTCGCTTAGATGCCCAGTGCACTTCCTAACCTCAAGAGCTAGGTTCGGGACCTGGCCTCGACCTCTACGTATGCCGAGCGCTCATGGTGCGATTTATCAAAGGGCCGATGGGAGGCCAAAACTCATGGTAAGCCCATTTTACACGTCTTTGATGATTTCGTTAAAGCATTTCTTACTAAATTTCCTTTTATACAGGACTTGGCAAAGATGTTGTCATGAGGCCCTTATCTGGTGAGGAGGAGACTTCGACCCCGGCACCGAACCCGGCGAAGGAC